AGTAGTCAGAAAATAGGTTATAAATTAATAATTAACACAATGACTATGAGCAACTGTAAGTGCTTGAACTAAAAATATACTTGAGGTCAGATATTGACATAGTTTGCATGGACATAACAAAAAATTCCTGTATATTAACCTCAGCAGACAAACCTAGTATTGGAATCTGGCTTTCAGAATCATATGAAATCATTATGATAATTAAGATTGATCTAACAAGTCATGAACAATGAGAACACTGAATAGGACATGAAGCAGTGGTTGGTAAGTAATCAAGAAGGAATATGATGGTGATAAGCACGTGTGGTAAAGCAGTATCTTCACCAAAGGATATTTCAAGAAGAATAATTAATAGCTAATGTTGGCTGGGAACCTCAAGAGTTCTTATAGTATAACTGACCTGGTAGATCTTAGGATAGAGAAGGCTTATAGGAGGGTGTGTCTGCTTCTGCTAAAGCTCTGAAATTCTTCAATATGCAACGCCTATATGTTAAGTGTATAATGATTGTAACAGCATACACATTTTGCAAATACAGGCTTACCTAATCTGTTTGCTTCCATTTTAGTTTAGCTTTATTGGAATCCTGCCATTTAGGAGAAAGGGAATGATTTATTCCCAGAGCCTTGATTTCCTTATGAAAGAATAATGGGTATATTGGAAATCTACAAATAATTCAAGGGCTGTCCGGTCAACTTGTATCAGCTTGATAAAATTTGATCAAGTGAAAGCTATATTGTATTGCTAAGGTAGGAAAAGCTGTTCACCATTCTTTACTTATACTAGGTTTCTATGATTCAACTTGTTTTTAAAAATCTTAATATGCCATGAAAAGTTAAATTCTGACACAAGTACTCAGATTAAATAAACTCAGCTCTGTTCTGTCCACCTTTATTCTGCTTTGGCTGGTAATAGGAACAAAATAAACGTCTGAAGCTACTAGAAATTGTTTAGCAGTCACGCTTCAAGCTTTTGAGATTTTATCAAGCATGACAAGAATCAAAGCCAGTCTGACAGTTAGACATTTTTCTAAGTAAGGCAAGAATCTTAATGCTCTAAGCATATTTTTATAGTGATAATTATGACACCCAGAGCGATTGTCCATGGTTCCTCACATGGAAAAAACCCATTCAGAGTTTGATATATTTTATACTGTTATTGAATGAAAGGATATTTTTCACTCTAGGTTGTGCATAGATGGCTAGCTATTGGGCCATTGACTTTGAAGATGACGGAATTGACCTATAGGTTGAAGTGCAAAGAAATAAAGATAGTCCTTGTTTAGTGACCTCATTTGGTTTTGGTTGCTAAGCGAACCACGTGATTAAGAGATAGGGCTTCAAAAACCACTGGTTGTTGCTGCCTCATTCAGATAAAGTTCTCTCATACAGTGTCCTGCGCCTGACCAGTTTCCCTCCTTTTTATCCCCTTTCAGGGGACAGAATTTGCTTAAAGAAGCTGTATCTTCCCAGCTGTTTTTTTCTGAAGTACATTGGGCAAAGTTATCTAGCTCCATTACACATTTTTTTCCTTTTCTCTTTTTTCCCCCATTAAAAAACCTATATTTAACAATGAAATTACAAATAATGAAGTTACAAAGGCCAACTTGGAATACCGCATCCAGTTTTGGTCACCATGATGTAAAAAAGACTCTAGAAAGAGTACAGAGAAGAGCGACAAAGATGATTAGGGGACTGGAGGCTAAAACATATGAGGAACAGTTGCAGGAATTGGGTATGTCTAGTTTAACAAAGAGAAGGACAAGGGGGGACATGATAGCAGTGTTCCAATATCTCAGGGGCTGCCACAAAGAAGAGGGAGTCAAGCTATTTTCCAAAATGCCTGAAGGCAGGACAAGAAGCAAATGATGGAAACTGACCAAAGAGAGAAGCAACCTAGAACTAAGGAGAAACTTCTTGACAGTTAGAACAATTAACCAATGGAACAACCTGCCTCCAGAAGCAGTGAATGCTCCAACACTGGAAGTTTTTAAGAAGAGACTGGACAGCCATTTGTCCGAAATGGTATAGGGTTTCCTGCCTGAGCAGGGGGTTGGACTCGATGACCTATAAGGTCCCTTCCAACTTTATTATTATTATTATTATTATTATTATTATTATTATTATTATTATATAGACCCATGAAAAATTACAGTTTCCTCTTCTAAAAAGTCTGGAAGTACTTAAAACAAAGATATAATTTCAAAAAGATACTATCTGTTAATAAGCACATAATTATTCAGGTTGTGCAAATGTTATCAATATGACATTAATAAGGGTCCCGAGCAGGATATATTGTTTTTATGATATCAAAAAATATGAATTTTTGAGTTTAATGTCAAAAGCTTTGCTATATTATTGTTTATAAATGTTTAAACTAACAATAAAATACCCCTAAAATAATAAAAGTATTTAATTTCTGACTTCCCCCTTCCTTGTGCAAAGTTAAGCCTCACAATTATGAACAAGTATCTTAATAAATTATGGTATACCTTTGATAGGTCCTGGAATTATACCTAATAAAAAAATAGTGATTCCACTTTAAATTTCATCCCCAAAATTCTCTGGGTAATTAGGTATATTTTTTCCAGTACTTTTTTTGGGCATGCCCTCCTGATATGTTCCTTTTTTGTGGCATTTCCCACATTTATTATTTATGATTTATGTACTTTGGCAAGTATTGGAGTTGCATACTATCTGTAAAACATTTTACAGCAGTTCTCTTTCAAACCATAGACTGGGATGTATTTTATAACTTGTTTCATAGTTCTTCCCACTGCTGTATTAAAACTGTTCCCCTTGAATCCCTATTAAAAACTGACCTCTGATCAAGGTACATTGTAAAAAAAAAATGAATTCACTGTACATTCAGAAATAGTTTATTTTAAATATATAAATTACATTTCATAGAAATGACACAAGTAACATCTCTGCTATATAAACAGAACGCTGGTTATTTACAGATATGGTATATTTTAAATAGCATTAATATGATCTAACTCATTTGAGAGGTGAAGAGTCAAATCAACAGTAAGATATTTCTCTTATACAGGTAGCCCTCAATTTGCAACAGTTCATTTAATGACCATTCATAAAGTTACAATGGTACTGAAAAAAGTGTCTTATGACCATTTCCCCACACAACTGCTGCAGGATCCCCATGGTCATGTAAATCAAAATTTGGATGCTTGGCAACTGATTCATATTTGTGACAGTTACAGCACCCTGAGGTCATGTGATCACATTTGGTCACCTTCTGACAAGCAAAGTCAATGAGAAAGCCAGATTCGCTTCACAACTGTGTTACTAACTTAATTGCAATGACTCATTTAACTGGCAAGAAAGATCATAAAATGGGGCCAAACTCATTTAATAAATGTCTCACTTAGCAATATAAATTTTGGGCTCAATTGTGGTCGTAAATCGAGGACTATCTGTATAGCAGAAGTTAAGGATATTCTAATGGAAAAAGTCATGGCTTTATATTAAAATGCTACGGACTAATATTGCACTTGTTTTGAGATGCTGAATTCATGAATTAGCAATCTTTCCATAAGAATGAATGAAATGAAAATTCTAATACAAATATGACAGATTGCAATACCTAAATACGGTAAGATATACAGTATATTGAAAATAAAAGGAAAAATAAGGAGTTTGACAAAGTAAAAACCCTTGGCTTATAATTAACTTAAAGTGTGTCAAATTTACAAGTTTATCAGTTGGTTTGGTTGGTATAATCCAGATTCCTATAATGAAGTCTATATTAGAATCTGATCTTCCATTTTAGTTTTGCAGATGACTATGCTGTTTTATCTAAAAACATTACATCAATTGCATAATTGGAATAGGAATGAACAGATTTCAGGCCATCCATTTATTGGGCTATATTTAAACTCCAGTAGAAAATAGGGCTATAACTTATCCAAATGATTATATCAGTGATCCATTAAAACCAACATAATTCTAAAATAATGATTAACTAAGATGTAAATATAGGCAGTTTTGCATAGTGGTTAAGGCTATGGGTTAGAAGCCATGAGACCATGAGTTCTAGTCCCACCTTAGGCACAAAGCCAGCTGGATGACCATGGAACAATCTCTCTCTCTCTCTCTCTCTCTCAGTCTAGGAAGGCTGCAAAGCCAAACCACCTCAGAAAACTGCCAGGAGAGTCCAGGCAGTAGACAGGAGTCAACAATCATTGAAACACACACACACACACACATTCTGATTAATTTCACATGACTCACCATGTTACTAACTTGGTCTGAGGCAACTTTATAGAATTAGGATTTGATTGTAAAAATCCTCTGATGTGCTTTAATTGTACCTGGATATGATAGAAAACTTTACCAATGAAGGCTTTGGTTGGTATAGGTATACATACATGTGTGCATTCATGATCCTGTGTAAAACAGGAATATATACTTAATTGCAGATGAGCATGCAGCACAGATTCAACTTGGCAACTCTGTGGACACATGCCAGATCCAACCAGAAAGAACTTGATCAAATCAAAAGGCTACCCAATTCACAAAATTAAATTTATAGTGTCCAGCTAATGCCATTCTGGATATGTTCAAAACTTTCCTTCCTGTCTGGGTAGGAAAAAAAAGAAGAAGGAAACTAAAATGTTTCAAATACAAGCATATACAAGCTATAAAGTTTTCCAGACATAGTTGCACAGCAAATTGTGTATATTCATATTGTCTAAAATACAGTAGTTCAGAATGAAATTATGCGAAGTTTAAGCAATATAACAGCAATAGCTATAACAGTTAGACTTATATACTGCTTCAAAATGCTTCACAGCCTTCTCTAAGTGGTTTACAGAGTCAGCATATTGCCCCCAATAGTCTGGGTCCTCATTTTAATGACCACGGAAGAATGGTAGGGCGAGTCAACTTTGAGCCATTCAGAATTGAACTGCTGGCAGTCGGCAGAATTAGTCAGGATCACAATAATAATGCCTCAGATGGATCCTCTGTTATTCATCAGTGTAAACAAGGAAATGGATTGTCTTCTGATAAAACAGATGCTATTGCACAAGAGCTGTGAATTTGTACTGAGCTCAAGTACACATAACTTGATTGGCTAAGCCTGATATTATCTTCAGAGCTGCTTATCTAGAGAAAAAATGAAGTGCGAATGAAGTAATCCAAAGGCAACAGCAGTTCACTTACTGTCTTCAAGCAGCCTCTGTAAATTGCTTTGTATCTTGGAGGAAAAAAATACAGAACACATTATATAGATAAAACTAGCTGCTACAAGGACAAGAAATGAGCTGTTGAATAGGCATCATACCTAAAATGGAATACTTTCTTTCACTGTGGCTCACTGAGGATTACATTTTTAAAACTATTATATCTAGCTTATTAATTCTACAGCAGTGATTTAGACCAGGGGTAGGCAACCTTGGCTCTTTTATGACTTGTGGTCTTCATTACCCAGAATTCCTAATCAGCCATGCTGATTCAGGAATTCTGGGAGCTGAAATCCACAAGTCATAAAAGAGCCAAGGTTGCCTACCCCTGATTTAGACCAACAGTCCTTTCTCGTCTCTGGATTGTCTTAGTATGGACAAGGTGCCTTATTGCAACATTTGGAGAACAGTGACTTCATCATTACAAAAAATGTAATGAATTGTATGGCTTCTTGGTTGCCCAGCAGATGTTCATATAAGTTATAGCATAGGAAGAGACATCATGCAAGTAGGACTATATATAAGCTGACCTGAAAAACAGATTAACTGAAGAGGCCTAAAATGCTTTAACTGGATGTTTTCAAGTCTGTGAAGAAGAATTACTGTTTCTGGGATCAGAATGTTATTGGTATTCAGCAGTGATGGCACAACCTTTGGGAATGGCATATAAAAAAATTAAAAAAAAAATAATTTGACTCTGTTGGAATGTCAGAAGAGACTGGATAGTCACTTGTCTGAAATGGTATAGGGTTTCCTGCTTGAGTAGGGGGTTGGACTATATGATCTCCAAGATCCCTTCCAACTTTATCATCATCATCATCTTCATCATCATCATTATTATTCCATTTTTACGCAGACTCCATAGCCTCTGAAAATTGAATGAGAACAGGGCTGCTAGCAAGAAGAGTTGTTCGGTGTTGGGGAATGCTGGAGTAGAGTGTCACCTTTGACACACATGGCATTAATTCACCATCACTGGTATACAGTATGGGGACAGACAAAATTTCAAAGGATTTTATTTTTGTGGGTAGATTTTTTGCCTAATTGAGACAATGGGGGGAGGAAAATCTTCTAGGAAATTTTCTTAAATTTTATGGAATTTATCTTAGAAAGTTTTATTAGCATTATTTCATTATGTGGCTTTTTAGGCCAGCTACCCCTACCAAAATATCTTCTACACAACTATGAAAGATTTCAACCCTCTGACCTCTTTTGTTCTAATCCAGTTAAAAGATATTTAACCAACTATCTTGTCAGCCCAATAAATCCCAGCTCCATCTTTATATGCATGAAGTCTCCCAACTATTTTTGCTTTCTGTAGTTTAGCAATTCTTTCCAATTACCTTTTCCAGTTTGATAAGATTAGCTGTTAGCTCTGCATACAGACCGTCAACATTAAATTTTTGGTGATATCCCAAACCATCTTGTATTGGATGTCTGAAATAGAGAATATGGGTTGAGAAAGTGAGACAGTGTATAATTACAGATGGAATAAATTAAAAATCTAATTACATAATAAAACTGAAACACAGCAGAAAAGACAAGTTTATTCCTGTATGGTGAAGCACACTGAATATAGCAACTTCATGGTATAAGATACCTATCAGTAATGTATGTTCATGTCATAATATTTGTTCTGATCTTGACATATTCTTGAACAATATAAGGTCACTTAAAGAGGAGAAAAGGGATAGGGACAATTCATACAACTATCTCGGGAATAGTTCACTAAGAAATGAATTAAACAAGGATGTATCTTTGTTCTGCTTATATTTGCCTTTCATAAATTAAAATACTATTGAAAGACCTGAAAGACCCAATAAGAGCAAAACCATCCCAGAGAAACTCTATCTACGAGGTTGCTAAAACTCAACACTGACTTAATGGCACATAATTAATCAAGTTCAAATAATATATGGTTGCATTTTTAACTAAAATAGTATTTCTACTGCTGCCTTCACAGCATAGTGTCAGTGTTACATGCAGAAATTCTTGTTCGATAGAGGGAAGGAGAGGCCATTACAAACCCAAATTCTTTACTGTAGAGACTGACAGATGGAAATACATTTGGTAAAACAAAGATTATGATTTTTCTCTAAAAAAAATAAAATACAGCTCAGGTGCACAGTTAATAAGCAGCATTTGTAGAGCAAGTGCTTTAAACAACTGGGTGTGATTTTTTTTCATTCAACAAATTAGTGTAAAAATAAGCATATTGCTTATGCTATTCGAAATGGCCAAAAGTGGATTTCAGCTAACACGTCATTTTTTGAAGCCAAAAGGATCAGTTACACCCTTATTGAATTAATATGTTTATTGTTAAACTCATAGCTCAGGTGTTAGGTAATGCAGATGTAATTGACTACCTAGGAGATTATCTGATCCAAATTTTTGAGAAAACTGTTTTAAGTGCCCAGCTGTATCTTCAGTGTGGTCTTTCATAGAAGCTGCTTTAATGAAGCAGATATAGGTCATAGGTTAAGATCTTAGTTTTACATCTAAATTTGATTTTCTATTCACAGGATCTCACTGCCTTAATACTCACTGATATTTTTACATCACCTTGGAAATGTAAAGATGTTCAAAGAACTGGCTATGAGTAACCGAAGACTGTACCACCAAACAACAGATGATGTTAAAAACTGGACAAAAATTGTGGCTGGCAATCTTGACCCTAAGCCAGCAAATACTTTGAGCAGCAAACCCTAAATATCACAGAATGTTTACATTTACCATCTTAATACTCTGTTTTCATAAGCAGTGGAAGGCAAATTCACAAACATCTTCTATGACAACAGAACCTGGTCTTCTGGCTGCGATGCCACTGAAACTCTAGCATATGCCCTGTTTTATTGTAACTTTTAGAAAGGTAATTGTAAGAACCCATTATTCCTAGATAATTTTATATTTGTTATTTTTTGGATAAGCAAGACCTAAACATCAAAGTCTATTGCCAAGTTTTTCTACTCCACTTATTACTCGAGGCACCAATTTAAAGAATAGAGTATTTGGGTGGATATTAAAGCTCCTATTAATAGTGGTTTTTGTAGTAAATTATGGGTCCTATACAGCTGTTCCATTTTATTTTGGTCTGTGACTACAATAAAGTTTTAAGTTTATCTTTTTAGGAATACACCAGGGCTGTTAAGAGTGAAGCTTGAAAATAATTGCTTGAAGGTGTCATTTATAAGAATGTGAATATTCATTTATAAGCACATTGAAGCTGTTGCATGGAAATATCAGCCTGCAAATGGAAATTTAACATACATTTACTTTAGTTATTATGAGCTGTGGTTTTTATTTCTTTTTGCATAGGGTTTGTTAGCATTACACTAGAGCACTGAAACACTGTATAAAACATTACCCAATATATTTACACAGTCGGGGTACAATTAGATTCTTTACACATATAAAATCTAACTCTGATCTTATAACTTCAGTAGCAGACATTTTTGCAGAAATTCAGTAAAGAATATCTTTACTGTCTTCATGCTAGAAAAGTATTCACCTGCTAAATTTTTACATTACAGTAATCCAATTGCAACATGATTCAGGCATGAGTGACTGTCTGAAGGGGCTCCCAATCTAGAAAAGGGAACAACTGACACATTAGATGCACATGTGCAAATGCCTTATGGGCCATAGCTACCATCTACTGTTTGTACAAAAGGACACCCCGATTCCTCAAAGTTTTGAATGTGAAAGCGAGAGTCAATGATGGTATGACTATTAAAACCATTATTGGATGGATTAAAATAGTTAATGTAAAGGTGAAAGAAGTCATATGCAGTGCTGTGCTATATTAGACCAGGCAAGATATAATCTGCCATGCTAGGATAATCATTTACAGAGGGCCTATTAAGGGTCTCCTCATTCTGCAAGGTCTGTGGGATGAGGGCTGGGGCTTTTCAATGGTGGTGGACCTTACTCCCTGAAATATGTTACCCTAGAAATGAGGGTGGTCACATCCTTTTTCACATTCAAGATGCAGATTAGTATTATTCCAATAGGCATGGATCCTCTAGTTCAGACATGTCAAACATGCGACATCACATGTGGCAAATGGTCATAAATGCAGGATGATTGTGAGTGCTCAAAATGTGATCATGTGAGCCTGTGTTGGTGGAACACTGAATCTGGTGTGTGTGATGGGGGATCTGTTAGAAAGATCATAAGTTTCAGACTGCTTGTTATATGGAAAAAGGCTTATTTCAAAAAATGATAAAGAAAAAGCCAGTTTCCTATAAAGGTAATGTAAAAATACAGTGTAAGGTGCAAAACCAGACTGAGCAGTCTATTTTAATAGCTTTCCAATTAACAACAACAATAATAAATGTGTTGAAATAGCAAAAGCTAGCTAGGTGGGATATGGGCCCTATGAGATACAGCTCACTGTATCTTGAATTTATTGAGTTACATTTTTTATGCTTGGCTGCTGTGTGTTTTTATACTATGTATTTTTAAAATCTAATTTACCATAAGCTGCCTAGAGTCATGTATGAGAGATGAGTGGCTATGTAAGTCAAATAAATATAAATAAATAACTTAAAAAAAGCAAGCTTGCTTAAAAAAGAATAAATATGGGCACCAGAAAAAGATCAGAATGACAGCAAGAATGTCAATATGGTTGATCAGTGAGATATTACATGCTTGGACTTTCAGATTTTTGATAAAATCCTCTCCCCAAGGATTTCTTGGAAAACTTATTATTCAAATGACTTATCTCTAGAATCAATGCAATATATTTCTCAAATTCTCATGCCCTGCTTGTATTTGGCCACTGTGAGATTCTCAGATTCTCAGCTAGTCCACATCATCTTTTTTGTTTTCAAGTTTATTTGAAAAAAAAAAAGAAATAGAAAAGAATACAAAAGATGCTGCATTTCAACAAAAAGTAAACTTACTCATTCATATGTGGATCCACAGTAGAAGCCATGGATACAAGTTGCTCTTCTAAATGATGAACTTTATATCGCAAATAGAATGTGGAACATATGAGGATAAAAACACTGCAAGAGAGATGTAGAAGAAAAAAGAACATAAACAGATGATGCCCACATAAGATAAACTCATCTGCAATATAGAAAACCTAGTACAATATCAAAGCTCCCGTTACACTAAATTAGGTAATGTTAACCGTGCTTTGTCAAATCCTGTGCCAATTTAGCTCAGCTCATCTGTGTAATCAGACATTCAGAAGGAGTTTGGAGATATTGCTTCTTAAGAGAGCCTCAATAGGGAAAGAGAAAGCCCTCGTGGGACCAACAAGAAAAGCAAATGTTAGTGAGCTGAGTCTTGTCTGTTCCAGCAGTAAATAACCTGACCCATATTCTTGCCCGATTCAACAGGGTTTCTTCAGAAATTTGCCCTGCTTTACAAGTCCCCTTATCTGCTACTTGATTTTCAATGTTGCTGCCTGGTCTGCTTTGCCCATAAACCTTGAAAATATCCATCAATCTTCTTTTCAGTTACTTTCCGGAGTCTGACAAAGTGCTTTTGGAAACTACATAAGCTTGTTATCCATATAACACAACTCAGAGTAATTTAGAGAGATTGCATTTTTCTCCTTCCATTTTCCCCAGTGGAAACATTTACAGTGGAACATATTCAGATCTTTATTTGTGTGCGGCAAGTAAGAAAAAGAAATTCAGAAACCATTTATTTAGCTGCCGCATATCCAACTTTCAGAAAATATATCCCAGGAAAGATGCTCTCAGTTCTATGCTTAGCTTTGTAATTTGAGGGAATGATTCAACTACTTACAGAATTGCATAAACAATGAGTATGTGAGTCACCGACATAAATAATTGAAAATTCATTCTGTCAAAAGATCCGAGGATTCCTGAAGAAACTATGAGATAAAAAGATAAATCAACCTAGCCTTTGAAAAGACTACAGCTATACACATACAATAGTGGGAGACTAGAAATGCAAAATAACAAGGAGATTCAAATTGACTGTTCTTTTTCTTCCCACCTATGAAATATAATAAATAAGTCTGTTAATGTGCGTTGTAATTTAATGTTAATTAATGAAGATTAACTAGCTTTGTCTATTGTACAGCATGAAATGGTAAAACTGGACACTTTTAAAGCTCAGAAAGTCTTGATTAAAATTTATAGCTTAAATATATGATTAATATATCAGCCAGATTAGGTTATCTCACCATATGGGAGATGCATTCTAAAATGTAAACTGATCTGAATGGAAATATGTTCAGAATAATGAGGCAAAGAAATGAATTCCAAAAATACTCAAGGCTACAATCTGTGATTAAGAAATTGATCTGCAGGCATATGTAGACTCCCTGCTATAAACTAAAGGAAATTGGAAGACTACATAGGAAGTCACAGTCCTTTTGTTATTCCCACAGCTATAAATTAGGCATCCTTTCCCCAATGCCTTATTCTTGCCTTTCTCCTACATGTTCCATTTAGATACACATACCTTATCATTTCTTTTCAATCTACAGAACTGTATTTCAAAAGCCGAATTAAATAATGACTTGACATATCAAAATACTTAACCCCCCTCACTAATAATAAATAAACATTAGATTGGAAAATAAGATCAGCATGCTAAGATCAGATGCAAGCAAGCTAGAACAGACGAAAAAGAAAGAAAATGAAAAACAAGATTGCCAAAGTATACGCAATTAAGAAACATCACCTAGAAACAAGGAAGATCAAGGGAAGCACTGGAAATAATAGAGCAACAACAAAAGATAATAGAGCAACAACAACAAAAATAATAGAGCAACAACAACAACAAAAAAACCCAGCTATGGCCAAGAAGGTCAGCAGATACAAAATTTGAATTGCATCCTGTAGGCAGAATTTCCAGTTTCAGTCAAATCAGAAATGTTTCTACCAATCCATCAATGGAGATATTGCAGTGAACCAATCAATATTTGACAAAAAAGAAACTGTACTATTCCAGGCACGGTTATGGGATAAACCAAAGAAATACAACAAGATTTACTTACTGTTTCCTGAAAGATTCCTGATTTGATCATCACGTCTACATTTAGACTGTACATTTTTATGGACATCTTTCATTTCTGTCTTGGAACATTTGAAATGAGACTGGTTATCAGACTCATGGTGATCTGTTGGAGAAGAAGAAACATACTAAAAGCAAGTGTAGATCACTTGAACAGTTTTGAGACCAATAAAAAGCCAGTGAAGTACTTTGCTACATCTAAACCATGTTTGCTTTCTCCATCTTTACTGAAGTGTTTCAAATGTCTGGACTAAAAGGTTGTAGGATAGTCAAAAAACAATTTTTTAAACGCAAACCTTGAAAGTGTTCCAATTCTGGGGTTTGAGAACCAGTGCTGCTGGATTCTTCCATCTCCTGTCTACGTCTCTGTATGATGCCATCCAGTTCAGAGAAATCGTGATTGAAATCCTGGAAAGTATCAGAATATATCAGAAATGCCAATTAAATATTAAATATCAATTTGTTATTTTCCTTTGTACCCTCAAAGTTCCCCTTTATGGATTACTGCCTTGTCGTGGCAAAGGGGCTTGCGTAACTCAATGAAGCTATAAGCTATGTTGTGCAGGGCCACCCAAGATGGACAGGACATAGCAGAGAGTTCTGACAAAATGTGATCCACTGGAGAAGGAAATGGCAAACCACTCCAGTATCTTTGCCATGAAAACCCCATGGAAAGTACTAAAAGGCAAAAAGATATGACGCTGGAAGATGAGCCCCTCAGGTCGGATGGTGTCCAATATGCTACTGGGGAAGAGCAGAGGGCTAGTACTAGTAGCGCCAGAAAGAATGAAGCGACTGGGCCAAAGCCGAAAGGATGCTCAGCTGTGGATATATCTGGTGGTGAAAGGAAAGTCCGATGCTGTAAAGATTTTTTCTCCATAGGAACCTGGAATGTAAGATCCATGAATCAAGGCAAGCTGTTGTTAATTGTTGTTAATTGGGAAGTCGTGTCCGACCCATCGCGACCCCATGGACAACATTCCTCCAGGTCTTCCTGTCCTCTACCATCTTCTGGAGTCCATTTAAATTCACACCTACTGCTTCAGTGACTCCATCCAGCCATCTCATTCTCTGTCGTCCCCTTCTTCTATTGCCCTCAATCTTTCCCAGCATTAGGCTCTTCTCCAGTGAATCCTTCCTTCTCATTAGGTGGCCAAAGTACTTGATTTTCAACTTCAGGATCTGGCCTTCTAAAGAGCAGTCGGGGTTGATCTCTTCTAGGACTGACCGGTTTGAACGCCTTGCAGTCCAAGGGACTCGCAGGAGTCTTCTCCAGCACCATAGTTCAAAGGCCTCAATTCTTTTGCGTTCAGCCTTTCTTATGGTCCAACTTTCACAGCCATACATTGCAACTGGGAAAACCATGGCCTGGACTATACGCACTTTTGTTGGCAGGGTGATGTCTCTGCTTTTTAGTATGCTGTCTAGATTTGCCATAGCTTTCCTCCCCAGGAGCAAGCGTCTTTTAATTTCTTGGCTGCAGTCCCCATCTGAGGTGATCTTGGAGCCCAGAAAAATAAAATCTGTCACTACCTCCATTTCTTCCCCATCTATTTGCCAGGAATTGAGAGGGGCGGATGCCATGATTTTGGTTTTCTTAATGTTGAGTTTCAAGCCAACTTTTGCACTCTCCTTCTTCACCCGCATCAAGAGGCTCTTTATTTCCTCTTCACTTTCTGCCATTAGAGTGGTATCATCTGCATATCTTAGGTTGTTGATATTTCTCCCGGCAATCTTAATTCCAACTTTTGATTCATCTAGCCCTGCCTTTCTCATGATGTGCTCTGCATATAAGTTAAATAGGCAGGGCGACAGTATACAGCCTTGCCGGACTCCTTTTCCAATTTTGAACCAATCAGTGGTTCCGTGTTCGGTTCTCACTGTTGCTTCTTGACCCGCATATAGGTTTCTCCAAGGCAAGCTAGGCGTAGTCAAAAAAGAGATGACAAGACTGAACATCGACATCTTAGGAATTAGCGAACTGAAATGGACAGGAATGGGTGAATTTAACTCAGATGACCATCAGGTATACTACTGTGGGCAAGAATCCCTCAGAAGAAATGGTCAATAAAAGAATAGGAAAAGCAATACTGGGATACAATCCCCAAAATGACAGAATGATCTCAATTCGAATCCAAGGCAAACCATTCAATATCACAATAGTCCAAATCTATGCCCCAACCACTGGTGCTGAAGAGGATGAAATTGACCGGTTCTATGAAGCCCTACAGCACCTTATAGAATTAACACCAAAAAATGATGTCCTTATCATCATGGGGGATTGGAATGCTAAGGTAGGAAGCCAAAAGATAACCGGAATAACAGGCAAGTTTGGCCTTGGAGTACAAAATGAAGCAGGGCACAGGCTGATAGAATTTTGTCAAGAGAATACGATGGTCATAACAAACACTCTTTTCCAACAACCCAAGAGACGGCTCTACACATGGACATCACCAGACGGTCAACATAGAAATCAGATTGACTATGTGCTCTGCAGCCAAAGATGGAGAAGCTCTATACAGTCAGTAAAAACAAGACCAGGAGCTGACTGTGGCTCAAATCATGAGCTTCTCGTTGCAAAATTTAGGCTTAAATTGAAAAAAGTAGGGAAAAGCACTAGGCCACTCAGGTATGAACTAAATCGTATCCCTGATGAATATACAGTAGAGGTGACAAATAGATTTAAGGAATTAGATCTGATACACAGAGTGCCTGAAGAACTATGGATGGAAGTTCGCAACATTGTACAAGAGGTAGCAACTAAAACCATCCCAAAGAAAAAGAAATGCAAGAAAGCAAAATGGCTGTCTGAGGAAGCTTTGCAAATAGCTGAGGAAAGAAGGGAAGCGAAAGGCAAAGGAGAAAGAGAAAGATACACCCAATTGAATGCAGAATTCCAGAGAGTAGCTAGAAGAGATAAGAATGCCTTCTTAAATGAACAGTGCAAAGAAATAGAAGAAAACAACAGAATAGGGAGGACCAGAGATCTCTTCAAGAAAATTGGAGATATGAAGGGAACGTTTCATGCAAAGATGGGCATGATAAAGGACCAAAATGGCAGAGACCTAACAGAGGCAGAAGAGATTAAGAAGAGATGGCAAAACTACACAGAAGAACTATACAAGAATGAGCTTAACGTCCCAGATAACCACAATGAGATGGTCACTGACCTTGAACCAGACATCCTAGAATGTGAAGTGAAATGGGCCTTAGAAAATCTGAGCAACAACAAAGCTAGTGGAGGTGACAGTATTCCAGCTGAGCTATTCAAAATCTTAAAAGACGATGCAGTAAAAGTGCTACACTCAATTTGCCAGCAAATTTGGAAAACTCAACAGTGGCCACAGGATTGGAAAAGGTCAGTTTACATTCCAATTCCAAAGAAAGGCAATGCCAAAGAATGTTCAAACTATCGCACCATTGCACTCATTTCACATGCTAGTAAAGTTATGCTTAAAATCCTACAAGCTAGACTCCAGCAGTATGTGGATCGAGAACTACCAGAAGTACAGGCAGGATTTCGAAGAGGCAGAGGAACTAGAGATCAAATTGCCAACATTTCTCCTGGATCATGGAGAAAGCTAGGGAGTTCCAGAAAAACATCTACTTCTGCTTCATTGACTATGCAAAAGCTTTTGATTGTGTGGATCACGACAAATTGTGGCAAGTTCTTAAAGAGATGGGAGTACCAGACAATCTCATTTGTCTCTTGAGAAACCTATATGCGGGTCAAGAAGCAACAGTGAGAACTGGACACAGAACCACTGATTGGTTCAAAATTGGAAAAGGAGTCCGGCAAGGCTGTATACTGTCGCCCTGCCTATTTAACTTATATGCAGAGCACATCATGAGAAAGGCAGGGCTAGATGAATCAAAAGTTGGAATTAAGATTGCCGGGAGAAATATCAACAACCTAGATATGCAGATGATACCACTCTAATGGCAGAAAGTGAAGAGGAACTAAAGAGCCTCTTGATGCGGGTGAAGAAGGAGAGTACAAAAGTTGGCTTGAAACTCAACATTAAGAAAACCAAAATCATGGCATCCGGCCCTCTCAATTCCTGGCAAATAGATGGGGAAGAAATGGAGGTAGTGACAGATTTTATTTTTCTGGGCTCCAAGATCACCTCAGATGGGGACTGCAGCCAAGAAATTAAAAGACGCTTGCTCCTGGGGAGGAAAGCTATGGCAAATCTAGACAGCATACTAAAAAGCAGAGACATCACCCTGCCAACAAAAGTGCGTATAGTCCAGGCCATGGTTTTCCCAGTTGCAATGTATGGCTGTGAAAGTTGGACCATAAGAAAGGCTGAGCGCCAAAGAATTGAGGCCTTTGAACTATGGTGCTGGAGAAGACTCCTGCGAGTCCATTGGACTGCAAGGCATTCAAACAGGTCAGTCCTAGAAGAGATCAATCCCGACTGCTCTTTAGAAGGCCAGATCCTGAAGTTGAAACTCAAATACTTTGGCCACCTAATGAGAAGGAAGGACTCACTGGAGAAGGGCCTAATGCTGGGAAAGATTGAGGGCAATAGAAGAAGGGGACGACAGAGAATGAGATGGCTGGATGGAATCACTGAAGCAGTAGGTATGAACTTAAATGGACTCCAGAAGATGGTAGAGGACAGGAAGACCTGGAGGAACGTTGTCCATGGGGTCGCGATGGGTTGGACACGACTTCGCAATTAACAACAACAACAACAACCCTCAAAGTTGAAAACAATGACAATAAGAATGTCCTCAGTACAAACCTATATATGTCTACTCAGACATGTTCTATAGAACACAGTGAGGCTTGTTGCTAGTTACATATATACAATAGGGATACAACAGCTTGAGGCTTCAGGACCAACTTATGTTTAATGTTATAAATAAAAATGTACATTCTTTTAATTAAAATACATTAAATGTAATACATTTCATTATTTGAATTTTAATTATATTTGCTTTCCCCCTCCCCCCCAATCCTATCTACTCTTGTGTGTCCTCCAGCATATCATTCAAAACTGAAGGCGGCTTTCAGCCTGAAATATTGTGCAATCTTGTTCCTACAATTGCAGCCAAAGTGTATCTTAGCCTAATGGGTAGAACAATAAGACGGTGGATTGGAGACTAAGCTTCCAGGTGCATAAAAGTCAGAAATTGATTTTCATCAAGCCATGCTATTTCAAATAATTTAGTTTGCACATAATATAATTTCTTTTGCATCTTTGCAAATTGATAGGAAAGAATATTAGAGCTTGAAGAATTGTGCAGATGTTACTTAATCTTATTGTTTCTGTGATGGAATGTAATAGCTGGATTCTCAGGTGGCAAAGGGTGCATTCCAGAGGAATAAGAGACAACTCAGTCTAGAGATTGTGTTGAGAGAAAGCAGGGTAAAAATAGCCTCTCCCTAATAGTTCTCTGAATGTATGGTAGATGCTGATAGTTGAGTGCTTGACAAGTTTCTGTCTATGATACGCAAACAATGAAGAACTCAGCTTGGAAGAATCATCATGTATCAGTTTTGACTTGGGGGCCTAACTATATATTTATGTGTGTGAATATGTATATGCATACAGATGATATAGGATAAATTTCATGCCCCTGGTAAAGTAGACTTTAGTTCTAGTACATGTTAGGAGGAGAATTACATCATGTACATCAGTTGTGCCCTTTTCTGAGGTATTGTATATGGTGTAGAGTCACCTTGGTGTATGGCATAGAAATCTAACACATAAAAAATAAAAATAATTCATGCTTTTGTCATCTCATGGCTGAATATTGTAACATGCACTACATGGCTCAGCACTTGGCTATCTTTGAAACCACCACCTTCTCAGGTTGAATTTGCCCATGCAATAAAAGCTGGCAGACAAATTTTATTAAGGGTACTTCCGTCAAGGGAATGCCATCTACAGGGATCCAGTAACTGGGAGGTCCCATTCATGGTCTCTTTCTGTGGGACAGTTTGCCTATGGTTGTCCACACCACTTCCTCTTTGTTGTACTTCCAAAGAGTTTTGAAGATATGGATATTCAAAATTTTTGGGGGGACAATGAAAATTAATCTACCTATCCTGAATAAGATACCCAGTAGATGTCTGCTGACATTTTATGATAATAATTAAATTTCTATGGCAGGACATAACCCACTCAGAGCCTTCAGAAACTATAAAAATTCCAGTACATAAATAAAATTAATAAAATATTTTTTTACTTTATAAAAAAGCTAATTCTAATGTAGTTCTGCACTATAAATGCTTTTCTGTTCAAAAATAAACTTACCAGGGGTAATGTTGTAGGCCGATCAGCTCTGAAACTATTTTCTAGGGAAGAAGGATTAGGACTGTTGCCATCCTGAAATGTGCAATTTTAAAAATTACACAGTTGGACTAGGATTAACTAAGTAATACTAAGAATAGTCACACATATACAGGTAGAATTTGCTTAGCCACTGTTCAGGATTATGACATGGTGCTGAAAAAGTAACCATCTTTCCTATTAGTATCTTATGACTATCTAACTTTGTTGCTTGCCTATATACTGAGAGTTTATGCACTAGGGACAAATTCCTTGTGTGTCTAATCCCACTTGTCCAATAAAGAACTATTCTATTCTATTCTATTCTATTCTATTCTATTCTATTCTATTCTATTCTATTCTATTCTGTTCTGTTCTGTTCCATTCTATTCCATTCCATTTCATTCAGTTGACTTTTCCTTGCACTTACAGTATGACTTATGGATCTGAAGAAAGTTTTACTTACCTCTAGATGACTGCAAACAGATTTTAACAATTTGTAAACAGTGTCTCTGGACAGAAAAGAGATGAACATGTACTGTAAAGAAAACCACCAACAAATGTTATTTAAAAGCAGCAAAGACTGGTAGAACTTGCCTTTATTATTCTTACTAAAGTATATCTCATTAATTATTACTTAAGGATCTGAGGAATCTACATATCACATGCAATCCCACATACTCAGTTGACTTTTAATAATCTGCCTTTCATAATGAGAGGCTCTCTGGACTGTTACTTTATGCCAAGACTTTCATCAAGTTAGCACATTTTGCCTGAGCAAGATCTGCTTCAACATGTTATATTAAGAATTCTTTATCTTTATTTATTATGTAATCATATTCAGTACCACGTCCCATATTTGGGAATGATGTTTTGAAGGAGCGTAGAACACAACTGTAAAACAGAAATATAGGATTTCTAGTTCACATAGTCCCCAATTTTTATTTCCAAATTATACTCCCAGAACAGGAGTACAGAAACACAAACAACCACCATAACAAAATAATGTAGTAAATGTGAACTTACCCTATCTGAGACTGTAGTTATAATAAGAGCATTTGGCACTAAAAGGGCAGTTTTAGTCTTCTTTATTAGTGTTACGGATAACACAGGTATACTAATCTAAAATGAAAGTATAATGATTATTAGAAGATGAAGATGTCAATTTAACCAACAATATTGATGGTTATGCAGCAGAGCCCAAGCAAAGAAGTGAATACTGGTGTTTATAATGTAATTTCTGCTGTGCCTAGATACTTTCAGATAAAGCCAGATAGCTATCTTTTCAGATTTAAGCTAATCTGAGTGCCAATTTGATGCCTATATTATATTAAGACAAAAATAATAAAACATGTAAAATAGATGGATGTTATTTTCAGGGGGCTTAAAATTATTGTGTTTCCATCTGTGATGAATGCAAGAGGCCTGCAAACTACTTTGGTTATGCATTGCCTGCTTTGTATTTATCATTTAAAAATACACAAAATATGGTTTTAACACATGCGGTTCCTCTACATTGTGTTCTGACCTCTATTTCACCCAAAAATACAGTTACAACAATGCTAATCATTAGGAAATGGAGGCACATTGATTAAAAATGTCATAAAAAGGAACGACTGGGAAAATTCTATATAATTAAGCAGTTTTCTAATGCTGCAAAATATTCAGCTAAATCTCATTTTGGTTATATCCAGCTGGGAAGCACTCCATGTATTTGTTTTCTTCTTGACACTGTTATAACCAAATAAATAGTTCAAAAACTTGCCATGAAGGAAAGGACTTTTAAAAATGCAATTAAGCTGAGCACTTCTCTGAGAATAAAATCACAGGGGAGAAACAGTGATATGCTTATAACTAAAGATACAAACTGCATCTTCATATAATGCTAAGGCAGAATTTAACTGTAGTTTGTTACAAAGCAAGAAACACACATTATAGTTGGGAGATAATAATAATAATAATAATAATAATAATAATAATAATAATAATAGTAATAAAAAAGTTGGAAGGGACCTTGGAAGTCACCGAATCCAACCCCCTGCTCAGGCAGGAAACCCTATACCATTTCGGGCAAGTGGCTGTCCAGTCTCTTCTTAAAAACTTCCAGTGTTGGAGCATTCACCGCTTCTGAAGGCAGGTTGTTCCATTGGTTAATTGTTCTAAGTGTCAGGAAGTTTCTCCTTAGTTCTAGGTTGCTTCTCTCCTTGATTAGTTTCCATCCGTTGCTTCTTGTCCTGCCTTCAGGCACCTTGGAAAATAACTTGCTTCCCTCTTCTTTGGGGCAGCCCCTGAGATATTGGAACACTACTACCATGTCTCTCCTCATCCTTCTCTTCGTTAAACTAGACATACCCAATTCCAGCAACCGTTCTTTATATGTTTTAGCCTCCAGTCCCCTAATCATCTTTGTTGCTCTTTTCTGTACTCTTTCTAGAGTCTCAACATCTTTTTTACATTGTGGTGACCAAAACTGGATGCAGTATTCCAGGTATGGCCTCAGGCTGAACATCTTAAGCTGCATCCTATTCCAGTGCTAGTGAAATTCAATTTATGAATGAAGTAAAGCCTGTTGCTTTCTTAGGGTTTTGCCTCTACAAAATGGGAATTTACTATTGAAAATATTGGTCAAATAGCCGATAGAAACAATTTCACTGTAATCCTTTGAATACTCACATGCTACAAAGTTGTCTGATTTTCTACTTATATAGTGCATATGCCAGATAGCAGTGGCCCACAACCTTTTCGGCTCGGCACATTGGCGGAGGTGGCGGTTGGGGAGGAGAGGTTTTGCATGCGTGTGCATACTGCTTTCATTAATGCAGCTTTGCGGATGCATGTATGCGTGCTCACCCACCACTTCTGCAGGCCTGGTTCCTAATGGGCTGTGGCTTGGCACTGGGCCACAGTCCTGGGTTGGGGACCCTTGCAATATAGCATTAACATTTGCAATTATCAACTGTGTACATATGAGATTAAAAATTAGGCATGTATAATGGACTTGAACACACCATAAACTATATTTATTTACGAATGAAAGCAAATATACATGTCCCAGGATAATGATGCAAGATCGATTTTGGGTCGGTCACCAGGACCAGAGATTTAATCTTCCTAGTTTTCAGACTCATGCTGGAGCCCATCTTCAGGGAATTTCTCTCTACTGGAATACATGCTTTGGGCTGTTCTGTGAGTCGTGTTTATGTGGCGCCTTCCTATTGGCTGATTGGTGTGTTGATGGCGATTGGCTATCATTTTCTTCTGCTGCCAAGCCCTTTTTGCCTAAGTATTTGATAAGCTGATGTTAATTCAGAATTCCTGTTAACTGACAAGAGGCCTGATTCCCAGGCTTCAATCATTTTCCTGGCTATCCTTGCCTGCATGGCCAATATACTATATTCATTTTTTATTTATTTAAATATGTTATATTTATTATATTTATTTACCTTGGTATCTTTGCCAAAGACCTTGGAATTGAAGCAAATCCAGTTCTCCGATACATATAGCTTCCCTTGGTACACAATTTCTTTCTGTAAGGCACAGGTGAAATCTACAAAGATCACATGAGTAATGTTATCTAACTGGGAATATGTACAGCCTGGCCAGGCAATGTATCTAACACACACTATATGTCTAAAATAATTTTCTTAAAACAAATATTGCAAATTCAAAGGTATTTGTGAGAGGGGAAAACCGTTTCCAAAGATTAAAAAGTCTGAAAATATTCTAGTTGTCTCAGAATCTATATTTTGATATATAAATATCGAGTAGAAAGAGTTATTCAATAATAAATACCAGTAGTCTCATTTAGTGACTACAATTGGGACCAGCAATTTGGATGTTAAGTGAAGCAGTCACTGTGAAACCAGGACTCTGTTTATGCTTTTATTATAATTTTCTTTTGCTTTACAGACCTGTAAAAGTCTGAGGATTTGTCACAAAACTACTCTTTTCACCACTGTTGTAACTGAATAGTTGCTAAATGAGTTAGTCACTAAATGAGGTGTACCTGGGACTTCATGTACTGGGATTTTATATGAGAAAGCAAACTCACAAATAGAATGGGCTATGACCCAGAACTGTATTGTGTGTATATGTGTGCCAAAGAAGGAAGCCATTATACGGGCATAAGCAAAACTCTTGATAACCTTAATATCAGAAGCTGTGGAAAAAATAGTCCAAGTATCCCTTGTTTAGGGACAATAATTGATTCTGGTAAAATGGTTGCTAAGAGAATCAATGACAGAAGGAGAGAGAGAGAATGAGAGAGAGAGAGAGAGAGAATGAGAGAGAGAGAGAGAGAGAGAGAGAGAGAGAGAGAGAGAGAGAGAGAGAGAGAGAGAAATATAAATTACAGGCCTTTGTGATGACTTGGTTTTTATTTTAGAGGAGCCATTGGAAACAGCCGATAAACTCTTGCAGAAAATTGAGAAATTTGGAGAAGTGGCTGGACTGAAAATAAATAGGGAAAAGACTAAAATATTAACAAAAAACCTAACAGATAAACAGAAAATTCAACTTACTAAAATGACAAACCTTCAAATAGTTAAAAAAGTCAAATACTTGGGCATCTATTTAACTGCAAAATATACCACATTAAAAGCAGATAACTATGAGAGATTAATGAAACAAATAAAAATAGACCTGGAAAGGTGGGAAAATCTTCAATTATCACTCCTAGGCAGAATAGCGACAATTAAGATGAACATTTTACCAAAGCTAATTTTTCTATTCCAAACAGTTCCTGTTAAACTTACTAAGAATTTTTCTGATGATCTAAATGCAATGATTCTAAGATTTATATGGCAAAGAAAGAAAGCTAGAATCAAATGTAAATTGTTACAAGAATCTAAGGATAGAGGGGGCTTTGGACTTCCAGATTGGAGACTTTATTATCAAGCAGCTATTCTGCTTTGGCTTAAAGAATGGATTGTATTGAGAAATAAAAGATTGCTTTATTTAGAGGGACATGATCTTCAACTAGGTTGGCATGCTTTTATATGGTATGAGAAAACTAAAGCACATAAATACTTTCAAAATCATGCGATAAGAAACATAAAATGGTGGCCTGCTTGCTGATGGTGAGCCCTAGAATTTACTCTCCCCAGACTGTCTGACTCAGTCCACCTCCCCCAATGGAAAAAATCCCCCCCTCAGGCAACGAGTAAGAATGTCCGAGACTGAGGAGGAATGAGCCCCTTCCTCCAGTATTTTCCCTATACAATGGAGTGGAACCGGGTTCCGGGACCACATGGTCCAAGATGGCAGCCGCGCGTGGAGAAGGAGGCTAGGCTTGCCATGTCCGGGAGGCTCCGGGGGAAGATGCTGGAACCAGACGAGTGCTCCCTTGTTTGGGGGAAAAGTCCACTCCCCAAACTGGCAAATTAGGTGAAGAGACAACGAAGAAGCAAGAAACAGATTGTTGCGTCCCTCCGATCAGCCACCTAACGGCTGATTGGCGGTGGCCATTTGGCACGCGGTGCGCTTCCGGCTGTAAAAAGGACAATTGTAGTCCCTGAAACTAGCTAAAGCAAAAGAGACGACAAGGTTAAACGAACACCAGAGCTGCAGCTGCAGCTCCAAAGAAAGCTAGCTGCGTGGGATTCTCTAGGAAGATCCTGGCACGTCGCAACAACACCTCCACCACCGACGCTCGTATCCAGTCACCGGAGCTGCAACCTCAAACTCCGGTAGAAATGAGGCCGAGCCAGAACCAGCTGGGGACTAACAGCTGTTAGTCCACAGGTGAAAGCAACAAAAATTAAGGACCGAGGGAGATCAATTTGTCAGAGTGGGGAGAGGAAGGGTAAGGAAGGATCTCCTTCCTTGGAAAACTCAGTTTCTTTCTCCCCCCCCCCCAGTCAGGAATTGAATTGGGGAATTTAGGATGTTCCTGAATGGAGACTAATTGCTAATAGAAAGCCAAATTCTGTGCTGAAAACAGCACAGCTCAGCAAACTAGGGAAATGGAAAATGGAAAATCCACCAATGGAGACTGTACCTGCCTAAGAGCCAACTTTGCACGTCTGCCCTGGGCGAGATCAAGTCAAGACTGGGATCTCTATGGTCCAGGACGGGCGTGGCAACTTTGGCTGACTTGATCTGATTGGGCAGGAATACAGTCTAAACCCATTGGTGGATTCTCCATCTCCAGTGCTGGAGAATGGGAGAAAATCAAACATAAAATATATGTGAAAATACCTGAGTGGTTTTCAACAATGGAAGCATTTGCTTATCCAAACCTGATTAACTATGATAAACTGGTTAGTTATAAAGATATTTTGGATAAAGAGGGAAAACCTAAGGACAGGCAAACTCTTCAACAACAAGGTGTTGACTTGACATGGTGGTCAGACTCCATTAGATAAAATTTTGTTAAAAACAGATGAGAATTTGATTAAGAAACTCTATAAATTTCTTTTAAACTGGAAGATGGAAGAAGAACAAGTGAAAGAAACAATGATAGTATGGGCAAAGAACTTTGGATATTCTATAGATTTGGAAGACTGGCAAAAACTTTGGAATAAAAATATTAAGCTTACAAAAGCGGTAGCATTTAAAGAAAACTTATACAAGATATTTTACAGATGGCATGTGACACCAGTTCGCTTAGCGAAAATGTTTAAAAATGTTTCGGATACTTGCTGGAAATATAAACAACAGCCAGGTACTTATTACCATGCCTGGTGGATATGCCCTAATGCTAAGAAATACTGGTCTAAGATTCATAGATGGTTGGAAAAGATGATGAAAATACAGATAGAATTTAAACCGGAATTGTTTTTGTTAGGAATATTAAGATCTAATTATGGTAAAGAGAATGATTATTTGATACTGCATGTTTTAACAGCCACAAGGATAGTATTTGCCCAATTTTGGAAAAATGAGAATCTACCAACTGACCAGGCTATAATTACTAAAATTTTAGAGTGGGCAGAAATGGATAGATTAACATTGGAGATGAAAGAAAAAGATGACTCAGTTTATTTTATAACTTGGGAAAATTTTTATCAATGGTTAGAGACACGTTAGAATCTGAAAAAGACTTAATAGAATAGATGATTGATTTTTAACTGAGTTTTAATTAATAGATTGATGACATTTTTATTTTTAGTGATTTAGTGATTTTTATCTGTAAATCTTGATAGTCAGGACTTTTTGAGATTTTATTATTCATGTTTATTTAAACAGATGAATTTATTTGTTTATTAATTGTTAGTAATATGGCTATGGTTAAGCTTATTTTAAAAATGGTTGAGTATGTTATTTATTCATTATTATGATCTGGACAGTAGCTTGTTTATTAAAATATGTGATTGTATCTATCCTTATTTTATCCTAAATCCCCTATTCCCTTCCCCCCATCCCCTTTCCTTACAGTACCCGTATTGTTCCTATTTTTTCCTTATGTATATAAACTCAATAAAATATTGTTAAAAAAAAAAGAGATGAGGTTGCCTATCCCTGAGCTTGTTGGAGAACAGCCTGAAGTCAGCTTGCCTGGTGAGCAGAAGATCGGAGAGAGGGAAAGAGGGGGGGGAGGGGAGAGAGAGAGAGAGAGAGAGAGAGAGAGAAAGAGAGAGAAAGAGAAATAGAGAGAGAAAGAAAGAGAGTGGGGAAGAGGACTGGCAGACTAAGGGCAGAAAGAGAGAGAGGGAGAGAGGGAGGGAGAGAGAGAGAGAGACAGAGAGAGAGAGACACACACACACAGAGAGAGACCCTTTTGACATCTAAAATGAAGATAACATTGCATATATATCCTTTTTTACCTTTATGATATATATATATATATATATATATATATATATATATATATATATATATATATATATATATATATATATAGTAAAAAAAGGATATATGCAGTGTTATCTTCATTTTAGATATCAAAAGGGTTTTGTGGCTCCCAGTGTTTTGTTTTCAATGGAAAACGGGTCCAAGTGGCTCTTTGAGTGTTTTGGGTTGCCTACCCCTGTCTTATACTGTGTCCTGTGGATGACCCATTTTTTTCTTCCCTTTTTGCTATCTGGAAGAGGTTGTTTAAACAAGCTATCCTTTATTGAGTTGCTTTTCTCTGCAGAAGAGCATGATCCTAAAAAATGCTAAGATAAGTTAATAAACTCAGATCTATGAACTTAATTAGTGAATTAGAAACTGCCTGCAGACTGGCAGCTTCTGCCTGAAACTGACCAGACTGTAAACAGTTTTACTCTGAAGGCTTTTTGCTGTCCTAAAAGCTGCATTGATTGGAAAATGAATTTTTATTACTGTTTATTACTATTATATTTGTGAATGGTGGCTATCCAAAGCAATTACCAAACAAGGATTACCTGTAGAAAACATGACTTACAAAAGTAAAACATAACGTAAAAAATGGCATTCTGCTTACTTTGTCTCAAGGGTTCATCAATTGGGACATCCAGAAACAGCTTGTGAAAATGAGCATTTGCCTTAAACTAAAGTAAAACAAAGAAACAAACAAACCAGAATTTGGTTACTGCTATGTTATTTCAACTGTCCTCACCCTTGTTGCCTAGTTTATTATTAAATCCTGGGAATACTTTTTCATCAGCAGATGGAAAGGACTGGAACTGTACCATACCGAGTGCACCTGTTTTTCATTAAAAACAGAATGAAAAAATCATTCTTCAGATAAAAAAGGGCAGGGCTTAGATGTTTATTTGCAGTTGCCACCTTGACTTTTTTGACTTCCTCCCTCGACCAATTAGGATCAGAATCTGATAGTCTGGAAATATACTGTAAGTTTGTTCCAGTCAATGGGAACCGGGCCAGAAAAATAGATTATATATTCAAAAGAAATTCATCTCTGTGTGTATTAGGTAGAATTATTTTGATCACAATTATTTTCTGAGGTTGGCACAGTGTTTGCGCATAAAACTTACACACCCAGCAAACTATGCCTAAGGGCATAAGACATCTTAGTCTTTCTTCTCTGCTAAGAGCATTGCAGGACATACTGTCATAGTTCCCCAAGTGGTTCATTATTCCAAGAGGATCAGAATCAATAAAGTTATTAAGTACTTTAATTATTTGAAGATTCTGGGCTTAGTTATATGTGGATACAGTCAACATCAGATGAATTTATTTTGCTTTTGGTTAGCATATTGGTAAACCAGTCATTGTGTTTTATTAGCCATGATTAATTGCTTGCCATATTGAGTAAACCTGGTCAACTGAGGCTTATTCAGTGAAGATCAATCCAGGTATATCAAAATTAGGCAGAATTTTGTTTTGAGAAATTGTGAACAGAGCCTTTATCGTATGCATACTGACATGTTAGGAGTAGTGTAGGCTTGTTTGATATATGTTTGTAGAAATGCATTCTTTTCTTCAAGAACTATAGGTTGCTCCAAACCTCAGGCCCCATAGTTTCATACCATAAGCAACTCTTTACATAGCAGGTACTACTTGGGGAAAGGTAAATGCTGAACGCATCTGTGCTCAACGGTCTCCCTTCCTTGAATTCCTATCAAAACAGTCTGACTGTTGCAAGCCATAGTTTGCTTAACAAACTACCCTTGCTTAGGATCACATATTTAAACAAACAACAAAAAATATGACATTGTATGAACTGTAATGGCTGGTTGGCTTCATACAACGTGCTAATTCAAAAACATATTTTAGTTTAACAATGGGACAGCAGCAGATCTTGACCTGTTCTTGGTTGTAAGCACATACAATCTGCCTATAGTTGTCTCTTAAGTGAATCAACATTGTTGGCTAAGCCTATCCATACTGCATTACAAATCCCTGTCTGTATTGTGCTCAATATCTATGTCACACGTAATCTAGACATACTTTAATTATGCGAAGCCATGTAGCACTAATGGATACCAAAGCATAAACATTGATACTAATGCAGCTGTTAATGAAAAACAGAGCCCTGTTTTATCCTAACTTTAATAAAGAGTAAGAGTACAAAACAGCCTGCATCTTTCATCACCCTTCTTCCAACAGCACCAACACATAGAGCCAAATATCTTGGGATATACTGTATAATTGCCATTATCAGGTGGCATGGAAAATCTGAACCAGATCCATGTTGGTCTCTATTAAAACAGCGCAAATCCTTGAAATAGCTCTTGTGGAATGCACAGGAGGAGGCTGAGGAGCCCAGTTGTTCCTCTCCTCCCTTACATAGCACAATCTTTTCCTAATCCAGTCTGCCTGCTCAATGACACCCCATCAAAAGCCAAGTGAGCGGCAGCAGCTGCTGCTGTCTTTCTTTCACCATGGGGACAGCTGTCTTGATTTATCATCACACTATGTACTATTGCCTGGAATCAAAACAAGGTGGAGAATGTGGGACACAAGGGAGAATGAGAGCAAAGGAGGAAGAATGGGCAGATTTGCATTTAAAAACTGGTCCATGTGAACCAGACCAAGCAGGTTATACTTAGCACCCTTGTATCGCACTATTGATTAAATTGTTAAACAAAACATACTTTAGCTTAATATGTGAACTAATTCAGAGGATTATGCATCTAATGCCTCTAAGGATCAGCTCTTAAATATTCCAAATATGGTCCCTTATTTAGTAAATCAGAGTTATGGGAAACAGTGGTATTTCAACACCAATGTACTATTCCAGCCTGATGTTGTACAGTACTTTTGTTGTTCTGTCATAGCCAGGGTTTTCAACATTTCATATATCAAACAGATCAGTATTTCTCAGTACCTGGTTTGAGGTATGCTTCTTCCTTTCAGCTTTTGAGTCATTCTTGCCATCCAAGAAACCATTATCCACAATTGTCTTTGACCTAAAGGAAATCCCATTACATTATTCTCATTTCATAAAAAATGGATTTTTTTCACATTAAAAGATTCAGCCAAGTTGAATGAATTTCCGAGTAAAGCATGCCCTTAAAGATACTTATGAAACAATGTGGATTTCTTGCTTCTGATTGTGAAGAGACAGACTTTCATGGCTTTGCTACTTCAATGCTCTACAGCAGAGGTGTCAAACTGGTGACCCATGGGTCAGATGCTTCGTGTGCAGGCCATGCCCACCCCAGCTCTGCACAGGCAAAAATGTTGCGATACATCACGATATGTCACATGGCACAATTGAGTTTGACACCCGTGCTCTACAGCCTTCTCTGGTTTTATAGGATCAGAGGCTTAACAACCACTGAAAAAATTGTCATAAAATTGGACCACTCAACTTACAACCATAATGGCTTACGATGGAAATTCTGGTCCCAAATTAGGTTGCAAATCGAGGACTACCTGGACCTTAAGCTGAATGCTTATTATCACACAGATCTGACTATTTAGTCATGTATCTTGCACATTGTAAAAGGTCCATATGATAGTATAATGATGCCTATATCAGCATAGAGCCATGGTGGTTCAGTGATTAGAATGCAGTATTGCAAGTTAACTCACTGCTCAGTCCAGGAATCTTGACCAGCTCAAGGTTGACTCAGCCTTCCATCCTTCTGAAGTCAGTAAAATGAGGACCCAGATTGTTGGGGGCAATATGCTGACTCTATAAACTGCTTAGAGAGCGGTTTATATTATGTATACATAACAGTGGTGGGATTCAGCCAGTTTGCACCAGTTTGGCAGAACCTGTAGCTATATTTTTTTGTTGCCCAGGCCCAGAATGGACTTTTGGAAGCAGCATCCACACAGAGAATCAGTTGTTCACATATTTGAATCCCACCACTGATACATAGTGTACTTCATATACTATGAAGTGGTATATAAACCTAAGTGCTATTGCTATTTCCTACCTGGACTTCAATTCCTTGAGTTCCCAATCCAACTTGGCCATTACTGAAAATTCTGGGAGATAAATGTCACATTTTTGGAGATTAAGAAAATGTGAGTATTCAAATTTGCCTCAACAAAGTAATGTGCATTACAGACCAATACAATTTAACTTGTTAATGTGTAGTAATGACACATTTTCCTTTTCTTTTGAAATGTTCTGCATCATCTTACAGCCTTCAGTGTACTGTTCAGTCACAAAGATTTTCTGGCTACTGGAAAAGTCACAAAAGGTTGTCAAAGAGACTTTGGAGCAGCAGAAGTGAAGCAACTCTATCTCTTTACTTTCACAAGTGAGGAGAGCTCACTACTTTGAAGGGGTGTGCTTCGTATGAATCTTCAACACAGCAAAGCACCTCTTTGAAGTTTTGCACAAGTCTAATACTGTGCAGTATCTTTAGGAGACTGAACATTTTGACACAGCCAAGAATGTAACTGAAAAATCCACTCTTCTCACAGGCAACATTCTTCTCATTTCATTTGACTAAATCCTTTCCTAACCTCTAATTAGTGGAGAATAGTCCCATCTTTTCAAGTTTTTACAATGGCAAAAACTTCAATTTTGCCCCAAAGCACAGCTGGGTACTTATGTCAAACAGAGAAGAAAAAAATTACTCATCAGTCTCCAAGGGATAATTATAGGGATATACCAAAAGATAGGAAAAAGGAAGGAAATATAAATTGCATTGTAATATATGGGCAAACAAAATACAAGACAAATACTTAGTGGAATGCATAATGTGTTCATATATGCAATAAGAAAAATGCAGTATGGGCAAATGTTTGTTATTGGATTGGACCAGCATGGAATCTTGAATCAGTTTATGATAGAACAAAGTGAAGAAATTGCACATTATCTACTGAGACCTAAATTATGAATACAAGAGCGGCTACAGATTCCCCTCTTGGCTCTCACCAAGCTCCATGTCTCATCTGACTTAAATTTTACAGTTACTTTAAGGTTGAAAAATGTTGCATCATCCTTATTTCCAAAAATGCTCTTGAAGTTGATTGTAGATCCAGAGGCATTTTTAGTAAATAAAAAGGATAAGGGGCTATTACAGTAGGGCTCCACGCAGCCATTTTGTGAGCGAGCCCATGTCAAGCTCTCAAAATGTGCTACTTAGCCTCTGAGACCTGGGAATTGCTCTCTTCATGTAATTTTTCTGCAGAATTATTATTTGGGAAACCAGCAAAATCCCAACATTTCTTTCAAGTTTCAGATGGCATCATTTCATTTTCCAACAGTAATGTTAGTTTTGCTGCTCTAAGAAAGAGAAGAGGAATCCATGCACTTCTATACAGGACTATTCACCATTCCAAATATATGCCATTCAAAGAATTAAAACCAGATGTTCTAGAAACAAGAAGAGCAAGAACCTGTGAACAATTAGGAGAAATGTGTAATTGCACCCAGATTAGCTTACAGTACTTCCAGCCCTTCTGCACTTTCAAAGGCAGTGCTTGGCATCTGCAAATTAGTCAGGCACACACAGAGATGTGGTGGTTGGACTTGCACAGATGTTCTTGCTCCCTACCTATTGGGTTGGGAAGCCAGCCACTGGGAGAGACTGATACAAAAGAGAAAACCAGGACTTACAGAAGAGGGAGAAATTGGTTCAAAGTTTATCCAATATAAACTTATGTGGATGAATTCAAATGTGTCCAACATTCACAAAATATGTTGTCATTTTTCTTTAATAGAGATTTAACCATTAACGTTCCATCTAGTTGATTCCAGATGAATCTAGTTCATTACCGTGCAATTGCAACTTTTTTCTGGTCTTCAAAATAGTCGGCCTCATTAAATGATATTTGTGGCACCCCAAAGCCTGGTTTTCCAGATTTCTTCTTTTCTTCTGTTCCATTTTCATTTTCTGAACTGTAAGAAAGTAATATTATTTGTCAGGGCTGAAAAATATAAAGCAATAGTCTCAAAACTTAAATTACAGTTTCCAGTTCCAATCACATACCTATATACCGTAGCTTATATTTGAATGATGGCATTTGAAGAACTAAAGATTTTTTTAGATACTTCAATTGATTATGTTATGAATGGAGAACCGGAAGATCTGACTTTCCTTACATGTAACTAAAACATCCAAAATGGAGCTAGTTTCGTTTTTTCCTGGGGAATGCACAAGCTCTTGAGATAGGACCAAATTAACCATACTACCATGAAGTGAGGTAGAAGCTAAGAGCAAATGCAGAGAATATTACTATAAAGCAACATGGCGTCAGTTGTACTTCCATGCTGACTGCATTACTTATTATATGAAGCCAATTTTTTCTAGTCTCGTTGGTGCCATTAATATTTTTTTTTCTTTCATTACTCAAAGAGATGGGGAATCCAATTGTATTCCTAACTGTGTAGTTCTCATGGTTAAGTCATAGCTTCAACATCCTGGATTATTAGTGAAATGGACCTAACATACATCCCATGCATGCTAAAGGTCCTAATCCTTTGATGTTTTGGAATAGTAGTAGTAATAACAATAATAATATTAATAATAATAATAGTTGGAAGGGACCCTGGAGGTCATCTAGTCCAACCCCCTGCTCAGGCAGGTAACCCTATGCCATTTCAGACAAATAGCTGTCCAGTCTCTTCTTAAAAACTTCCAGTGTTGGAGCATTCACCGCTTCTGGAGGCAGGTTGTTCCACTGGTTAATTGTTCTAAGTGTCAGGAAGTTTCTCCTTAGTTCTAGGTTGCTTCTCTCCTTGATTAGTTTCCACCCATTGCTTCTTGTCCTGCCTTCAGGTGCTTTGGAAAATAGCTTGACTCTCTCTTCTTTGGGACAGCCCCTGAGATATTGGAACACTGCTATCTGAGCTATATTAATAACATATCTAAGAAAATAAAAGGTAATCTCAGTAAATACACTGGTCATTCAATTAGCTTGATTGTGAGACTGGCTCCCAATTTTAGAAAGCACATGGTGATGGTAGGTTTTCTAAGATGCGTACAAGGGTTGGTGATCTCCCAACTGCAAAAATCATGATACAAAGAAATCCATTTCTGCCAGGTGGTGCATAGGAGGACAAATGTTTGCACAATGAAGTAGAAATGAAAAGGTTTTTTTTCCCCCAGCAAATGCTGAAATGTGGTAAAATGAATTTCTTTCACTACTAAATTAAAACTATCTCAAATGTAGTCAAACTTTTTCATCTACGGTAGGTACTTTCTATAATGTGGACATGTATAACAGGGTAAGAAGAAACAACAACAACAACAGGGATGATAAGGAATCAAGATTTTCAGTACAGTACAGGTAGTCCTCAAATTATGACAATTGAGCCCAAAATTTATGTTGTTAAGTGAGACATTTGTTAAGTGAATTTTGCCCCATTTTATGACCTTGCTTGCCACAGTTGCTAAATAAATCACTGTAGTTGATAAGTTAGTAAGTTAGTTGTTAAGTGAATCTGGCTTCCCCATTGACTTTGCTTGTCAAAAGGTTGCAAAAGATGACCTTGGGATACAGCAACGGTCATAAATATGAAATAGTTGCCAAGCATCTGAATTTTGATTACATGATCATTGGGGTGCTACAAAGGTTGTAACTGTGACAAATGATCATAAGTCACTTTTTTCAGTGCCGTTCTAGCTTTGAACCGTCACTAAATGAACTCTTGTAAGTTGAGAACTGCCTGTATTTTAAATGCATGTTCAAATGTGAAAGACACTGTGCCCACACTTCAAAGCATTCACATGGAAATTAACCTTTACTGTTTTGAAATAAGCATGTTTACAGTGGCCCTTTTCATTGGCACTGTAAGATGAAACTTAAATCATGGTTTAAAATAAGTTTTGCTTGCTTGTACTTCCCTGCTGTTCCCAGGGCTTTCACTAGTTAATTGGAATTAATTTACCTTTCACAGAAGTTGTTGAAAATGGAAAATTCGTTCTTCTTATATTCCACACTATAAAAATGTCAGAATAATGCAACATGCCACTTAGAGTTTTGACAGTCTGTTTACCTGTTGTTTTTTATATTGCCTGGAAACAAAGCCCAACAGTTTGGAATAAGATGTCTCATTGAAAAAGCTTCTCCTTCTATGGTTTTTCTTTCTGATAGAGGATCAGAGAGTAGGTCTTTAATACTGACATAGATAAACTGTCTTTTAGCCAAGGGATTCATAATCTAAGTTATGCATGGCAGGGGAAAAGAAAATAGCCAAGTGTGAAATCTGCCTATTACTACTGCTATCTGAAAATATTATCATCATTGTTTCTGTTAAAATATTTTCTAGGTGGAAAGACCAGTTATTTTTTAATGATTTGACTTGTTTGGAAGAACCAGCCATATAAATAAGCGATGACAAAACCTACAAGCACAGATGTCTCTGCGAGAGAGCAAATGATCTAATGTGTTCTGATGTGACAGAAGTAAAGTACATAATCTTTATCACTTGCATGATGATATCAGAGTATGTATGATATAATTGTGGATCTTACCAGATACCTATAGCCTCTATTTTGGAACATGATCCCCTTTTATTCATACCTCACAGAGCTTATACAGAGCTGCTGTCCTAGCAATATTTTGCAGAATGATTTTTTTCAGTTTGCAATAGCATAGGCAGAGTTCAAAATCCCAAATCAGGACTACTGCACATGCAAAAGATATTTAAATTGCAATATAAAGACAGGATGCTTTTGGGAATATATTGAGCTAATTAGTTGATTTCAGAAATGACTAGCTTAAATAGAATCTGGCTGCAGGGGTACTCCAAACTTTCTGTATTTTAGCAGTTTAATTCCATAATTGGCCATCATAGATCATTGGGAAATAAGTCCTTCCACAACTTTCTATGTGATTTCTTCCAAAATGCAGAATCTGTTGGCAAAATATAAATTGCAGCTTCTGTAGATAGAGCTAGTTAGGGTAAAAATAGAATTACTATACATATGTATGTAGGTAGGTATCTCTGTGTATATTCATTTAACAGCAATATTCAGTTAATTAACAGCAATATTCAGTTAATTAGTGTTTTTAGTCAAAACCTGCTTAATCAGTATTTTCAGACAAAAGAAATAAAAAGAGCTGAAGATTTCTAATGAATTCTGAATTCGCTATGTTGTCTAAACTGCCTAATATATATAGAATGATCTAGGAAAGAAAATTATTTAGCTCTTATTGTGAGCTATAAGACACATAATTCACTAAATCTGGTGAAGTTTAAAACCTTTAGAAATTGCTTTAGTTGAAAAAATTATCAAAAGACATTGAAAAGCTTTATAATGAAAGATAGGTTCAGTAAATGTAGTAACCTTTGTTGGTTATTTTATTATTTTTTTTGCTAATACACTACTCTCATCTATGTGTACAAATGGAAGTGAATGTTTAAGAATCTCAAGACAATAGGTAGAGAAGCAGATAAGTGGATAAATAAAATTCTGCTTAACGGGGCACCTTAAATAGATAAACTAAAAGTCCATGTTTTTTTTCTTGAAGGCTGATGTTTCCTCACATCATATTAAAGCCAAGCTTTAATTCATTATCTCCCAATTAAGAGAGTAGTTGAGAATAATTCTTAACAAAATGATAATCACAGATGCCAAGAAAAGCATATCATTTTAATGATGATAAATTTGATGTCTTAATGTGCTCCCTGTTTTCGTTGAAATCTGTAATACTGGGAAGACCCAACACATGCAGAAGCACTAGGCTGGACAATGTTAAACCACAATTTTACTCAAGCCTCCTCAAAACAAGATGACATGAAACAGTCATACTTCTAAAGCAGAAAGATGCAGTGTTGAGTGAAGCAACATTCGAAGAAATGTCTTCAACAGAAAAGTTACAGTTGTTTGGTTGAGTAAATTGTGCTTAATTTATTGCTTAACAGGTGAAAAACATACTGCTCAATTTGACACATGTCTGTTCAGAAGTAAGCGCCCTTAAGTATGTATCATACTGATACATACCTGGGAAAAATTCCCATCAGTGAGATTTACTATTGAATAAATATGTTTAGGTTTGTGTTACCTGTTGTGCTTTTTATTAATCCTAAGGCATGACATTTATTTTATTTTTGGATTTAGAGTACCCCCTACTAAAGACTCCTGAACTTTACTATCAGGAAGACTGTCCATTATTTTCCCCTGTTCTCATACAGTACAAATACATTATATTTATTTTGGCCAGCAGAAATAATAGCTTAAGTAACCCTCTTCTTTGGTTTTTCTTGTTCTGAACTATGGTATACAAGACTGTTTTAAAAATGAAAATTACATAAATACCTGGGCTTAAAAGTATATATTCAGAAGAAATTCAGTTTGCCTATAATCATCCTATTGCAGTAGAAAAACTGACAGAAATGCAGGCTAGATCCTTAAATGTGAAGATATAGTGTAAAATAAGATGAAATCTGAACAATTTTCTTATAAATACATGAACATAGAGGCCAGTTGAATAGAACACTTTTCCCTGTTTCATAGCTTCTTCTATTATGGACAGAAATATATTTTTTTTGTTAAGCTATCCTTATTAGTTTTGTAGACTGAAATCTTACCTGATACAAAATATGGATGCCTTAGTATCTAGGTACCCATTAATCTGATTAATATTGGTTCAGCTGAATTTTAATGAGGATTGTGGTTGTGGCTTGTCACAATCATGTTTTAGTAATCTGGGAAACTTCAAGTTAACTTCAATATACTATTTTACCATGAACTATTAAATTACAGATACCAGGCTTAGGACAAACTAGGAATCTAACTTTTTAAAACCCATCTATTTTATGCTATCAAGGACAACTGAGATAAGAAGGTTGAGTGCAGATTTGACAATTGTGAGCAGATCTCTGTTTTGTATATTTGCCCTGAGCAGTTTTTACTGGGTCCTATATTCCTACATAGCACCTTTAGTGAACTT